TAGTGTTGGGATCCGGATGACAATTCGGATATCCGGATTAACATCTGTTTCAAAAAACATCCATCCGGATATCCTTCTAAATTAAAATATAGAATCCGGATATCCATCCGGATATATCCGGATTTTATATATAAATTTACAATATTGCATATTCTTTGAATATATCTGTAATTATGTAGTATTTAAATTATTTAATACGGTTTTACCACAAAATTCCGAAAGACAGATTCCTGAAAGGACTTAATACCGACAAAGTTAGCTGGCATTAGTTATAATGTTGCCCAATTTAGTCAGTATTGTTCTTTTGGGAAATGGTTTTTAGGATTTTGTAATAGAACCAAGCATTGGAAATGCTGCTTAGTGTTGCGATAAGATGATGTGGTATGATCTCCCGAAAACATTGTTCTATTGTATGAGCAATATTATTTACAATAATGTGTTGAATTTCCTTACTTGTCTGGCCATCGATTTAACTACAACAATTGCTATTTATTGTCTTGGTTTTTTGGTTAGAAGGCATTTTTAATGATGTACATCCGCAAAAATCTCATCTGATTGGGCAATGTGCTAAATGCGGTAAAACTGTGAATATTTGTACTTAAACATCACGAAATGCATCATGTACTACCATATTTATATCTTGTACCGTGCGAATGTATCTTTAACAAGTTTTTGTCTCAATTAAAGTGCATGACGATCATTTATAAAAATGCGCTTGTTGTCTTTTAGAATTCACTAACCAAATGTGGATTTTGGCGCAAAAGTTTTGAATTTAATCTGTAATGGCTGAAATCAGTTCACATGATTCTTTCTTCATTACATAACGATATTATTATGATGCGATAATGCTAGCTATGCATTACCATATATAATACTGTATAAGATTTGTTTAACCATAGCGAACGTTCAACTTATATTTTTATTGCTTTAACAGGTTTTTGTCTGAAGTTAATGACATCAATAGTTTTTTTATTATTGTCCTTCGGAATAGAACTAACCAAATCCAGATTTATTGTCATGCACAATGGAGCCAAGATGACCAAAGCTGGTGAGCTGCAACTTAAGCTATGACTAAGCATTAGTTGCAACTGAATCGCATAGCTTCAGATTAAATCATAACGATGATTATTGAAGCCACGAATTGTGTTATGGCTAGAACATGACTTGGCCATGGCTCAAGTTGTAGTAAATAATATTGAACGTTACTACAGTAATGATGATTTTAAAGCAATAGTATTTAAAGAAGCCATACGAGCGTTAACAGCTTTAAAAAACTTTAATGGGTTGAAATTGGTCTACAAAATTCTTT